TAGCACAAGCAAAGGTAAGACATCAAAAACTGAATTACCTTCTGCTTCGATGATTGGGGGGTCGACGCCCTGGGAGGAAGGTGACTAATTCATGGGTTGTGATGAAGAATCTGGGACTGAAGATGTACCTTTAACCATGGTCCCATCATCAACCGGTTTGGATGAAGTAGCCTCAACAGAGGATGATGGAGCAGGAGTTGGTAATGCCAAAGCCTTTGAAGGGGAAGCTGAGCTTTTCTGAAAAGTACAAAAGATCATCAGTACACAGAAAAATTTCAAATGGGGAAGATCATACTTGTAAATAGACCAATTTAATTACCTTCCTCTTAACGATAAGAGGGACATCATCATCATCATCATCAACATCATCCTCCAGAATGGGAGATGCTGAGGCAGAATGGGAGATGCTGAGGCTGACCGTTTGCGGCTTGGAGCACTCTTGGCCATAGTTGGCCTGGCAGGGAGAGAAGAAGATGGACGAGCAGATTGTTTAGTACGACGAGAAGGAGAGGGTTCCGAATAGACAAAGGAGTGACCAAAACAGGAGGAGGAGAAGAAATACTCGGTTGGTCTAATGAATGAAAGGCACGATTGGCCTCAGTCGCAAATAATCTGCACTTCACCGATGGCCAAAGTTGTTCGAAAAGAGGGTGAGTAGCATGACAAGGATTAAAAGGAGCTAATGAAAAATGGCTTGATAAATGGAGGTTGCGAGCGTTTATAGCCTCTGCTTCCACCTTATTAATGGTATGAAAACGGTCGTTTAAGTTCTTTGAATAGCAAAGAGGAACAGGCCAAGTTTGGCCGAAACCAAGCTGCCGAGCAAAAAATTGGGGAGCATAAATTTCTACCCCAGCTTTGGCATTGGTCCCAGTTAAGATATCGTGGAAAAGCTCCCTCCCAGTTAAGAACTGGATCCAAATGAGCAGAGAGGTGCTCGCGCTATCTAGAGTGGAAGGAGGATGTACATAGTCCGGAGTCAAAAAAGGAGGAAAAGGAAAGAAGGAAGAGATTGAATCTAAAGAATAAAAGAATGAAAAAATGTCTCTTCTGGACATACTTACAGGAGTTAA